TATATATACATACATATATATATACATATATATATATATATATACCAAATGATCTTGTACTTCAAGAAGACAGCTAATTTGTTAAACACTCTACATATTTGCTTCTGTAATGGTTATAAGATGAAATTAATTTGTGATAAATGAAAGAAGGGAAGTGTGTCTTCAAAATTTTCTTTCAGAATGAACTTAGTTGTACACGTCGGCACATGTGCAGGCTGCATAGCACCATCCAAATTCTTAAAGATCCCATTACATATCCTTCCCGATAGATAAAAGTTGTAATTCACATTACTATATATGAATCTTGTCAATACAAATATTACAGATTAATCAAATTCCTATTCCAAATGAATTCAATAAAAAACTTCTTTCATATCTTAAACGAAGAGGGACTGATTAGAATAAATTTTCAAAAGGTACTACAGTAGTTGATTAATAAGTATTATTTTAGCTGAAATAGTTAAAAAAACTAAGTTCAAGCATCAGCCAAGCAGGTCTCATTAGGATTTCCAACAAAATCTTATTCACCATTCCAGCAGAACAAAATGAAATAAGTAAAACTACTCTGCTATAGAAACATTACAAATAACGAAGTAACATGAAAAATTAGGAGTTTACAAACAAATTGAAATAAGGTGCTAAAATCTGAATACCTTCCCTGAGCCTTTTGATAATCACATTTGCATCAGGCATTGTCCCAATAAAAGTTCCTCCAGGCCGAAGCAATGCAGATACATTCGCCAATGCTTGCCTTGCACGTGCTTCAGTTGACCATGAGTAGTGTAAAGCAAACTGACATAGTTCATAAAACCATTTAATAATCATATAAGCAACTTATTCTCACATAGGAAGTTTCAAGTTTACTTTCTGTTATGAGTAATATGCTACACATAACTCATAGATCAATTGGTTAAAATCAGAAATATTGAAATATCTATAAGACTATAGTCTAGATTTCCTGAAGAAAACTCATGCAGCTCTAAATGCATCAAACTAGTCACCTGGCAGCTGCAAATATCAAATGGTGCATCATCACGCAAATACTTGTCTAAGCGAACCTGAAATCAAGAAGACAACAAAAGTCACAGTTGGGCGTCATGAAGTACTAGTTCTGAATATTATAAATTAGAAGCCCATAGTATATATAGAATCAATATATAACATATGAGTACCAGACAAAAAATAATCTAAGCTTGATAAATTTTGCAAGCAACTGCTAGTATAAGAGAACGAAGTACTGATAATATACTGATGCAATAGTAGATGGCTCAGTTTCAAACAATGTTAGAAGGAATGAAGAAGGCTCATCAACTCTGGCTTGAGAGTATCGAAGTCCAGTCGGATGCTTTAGATATAAATAACAGTGTAAATGGTGTACAAGGGACTCCATGGACTCTTAAGCCGTAATTTGTGTTATTAGACATCTTGCCAACAGGGTGAATGTTGTGGGGTTCAGATAAATTGACGGAACCTATAACTGTAACACATAGGGAGGCCAGCCTTAGTTGGGTTCACAGTGTATCTTATTTTGGGGAATGAGGATATCTACTGGATGTCTCTGAAGTTCAGTAATACATGACCCATTTTGTCAAAAAAATACTTATGCAGCAGCCGCATCACAAGAAAATCATATAGAAGATAATTCACTAGAAAACCAAAAATTAATCTAACCTCCATCCTACTAGTCAGATGCCAAAATAAAAGGAGAGAAAGCACCTTATCTCAAGCTTTCATACTTCAACTAATGATGAGGGTAGAAACTTCATTACCTCATAACAATCAGCACAAATTAGGCGTGCAGGGAAACTGAACTTCTTCCTGCGTTGTTGCTGGTCTAAATCTCCATTATATCGAGTCTGACAGTCTCGTATCTGTATGCATCTCAGAGAAATATTAAAAATATTATTATCTGAAACTTAACCTAAATATGCAAGAGCTAAATGGCATCGCATATGTCGTATGGTTTCTGTTGCGCATGACTGCAAAAAGATGGCTGGCCTATGGAAATTTAAGGGTAGCACTATCCAACAATTGAAAAAAATATCGTATACATGGTTCAGACATGTCTAAAGAAGACAATAAACATGCCATAACAGCAAGGTAAGTCATTTTAGACAAAAGATAATGAATGATAAAGGGAGTGGAGAATGAAAATTTTATTTAGGAATGACAAGAAGGAACATTGGGAGGCATGTCTTCCAGTTTATGTGGTGTCATTTCCTCAGTGAGCGACATGGCAAGAAAGAAGCCATGATAAATGGTGCTGATCATCAATTGGGACTTAAATGTCTGAGTCTGAACAAAATAGACTAGTGGAGCTGATTTTCAATTGGGATTCAAAAGTTAAAGTCTGGACAAATACAACCGAGGCATGATTCTTCCAATAAGATATCATCTCAAATCTTTATCCTCTCCTGTGTCCTTGCACAATCCCCCTCTCAAGCAAGCACCAAATTATATTCTTTGAACACAGAATGACAATTAACATTTTAATCAGCAATTCATTTCCAACTGCTGTAAAAGAACTTGGATGCAAATGGCATGAGTATTAAGATGCATATTTTCTGTAGAATACCTGAGGAACTACAGTATAAGATAACTCATTACCTTAGAGAATAGGATATTGTACCAATGAAGCATGGAGAATTATTATCGAATTATTATCATGAAAACAATACGGAGGCACTTACAGAGCCCTCTGCTATATCCACCCCCACGTAATATCCAATTCTTGCTTTGTCCCATTTGATCAAGTCACCACCCTAAAAGGGCAACAAAGGTTAACATGAACTAAGATACAGAACATTGAATATTTAGCATGACAGCAACATCCAAAGAAGCTGAGCAACCAGCAATAAGCCGGATAAATAGTGAATACACAAAATGTGAACAAGCGGAGCATTTGTGGACTACTGATAGGTAGCATGATATAGATACTACTAACCTTCCCACAAGCAATATCAAGAACAGCATCTTTTGGGCGAGCATACAGCTGAATGAGGACACTTTTAATCTGTGCAACAAATATGGACAAAAAATATCAGTCGCGGGAGACAAACAATAATATTGAGGATCAACATGAAGAAGTCAATCAGGAAAAGGCAGCTGCCAAAAACATGACTTCTAAGTAGAAATATTACTTTCTAAGAAAATGCATTCCTTCCTCGACAACCAGTATCAAATCAGCAATCTGCTGGTCGATGAACAAGAGCATCAACCAATCGAATCCAGATGCTAAGATACGTACATTCAGAAGAGTGATAGAAACAACCCTAAAGCCCAATCCTAATCCAATGGACCAAAGATGAATGTGGAACAAGAACACCATCAACCACAAGGAAACGACCGCGAGAGCATTCCACCAGACAGATGTGAAAAAATGGCAAAAGCAAGTCACAGCGCACCCAATTGTTAAGCTTCTTCAACTGGATGATGGGGCTCGCCTCGCGCTCCTCCAGCGTCTGATTCGACCTCGCACTGTAATGATCCGCCACTCTTCGGGCATTCTCGAAGCTCTTATCCTCCACAGCACGGGATTCACCTGTAAAACGAGTGTCCAAAACCCAATCAAGAACCCTAATTTCCGGGGCGGATGACGGCGAATACAATCGGGCGGGGGAAACACAAGGGGGCAAGTCAAATCTTGGGTGGGACTACCGTAGGAATCGAGTCTGAGCTTGGATTTAGGCGGGCCGAAGGAGGTGGAGGGGGTTTCGTCGTACCCCCGCTTCATGCTTCCGCTTCAAAATTGGGAGATTTGAGAGGTCGAAGGCAGAGTGCAGCGGTAGATATACATCGATAATTTCCATATTAACCCTCCAAATCTTGTGGATATATATATATATATATA